GTTGTAATGTGACAAAATATGGAAAAGTTCAAGGGGTATGAATACTTTTGCAAACCACTGTACATGCATTAGCTGAGAAAATACAACCGTAGTGATGAGTAGGCATCGAGGAAAGATTATTGATGTTCAATTTTACTTTTTCCCCTTCCAAATTAAAAGCGTAATATGAACCAGGCAAACATATTGCTGTTTTAACCATTTTACTGGATATTTTACCTTTTTTACATCAACCATTAACATTATTAGCAGCTGACAGATGGTCAGACAAAGAGGGGCAGGTTTGATTGCTGCAGCTTGAAGACACAGCATATTCCCAGGAGGTCATTCAGAGAACACTTACTGGAAAACCTGTGCTGGACTTGAGTCAAAGTACTGATCCTACTAGTCAAATATTACTCCAATAAAAGTAAAAGTATCTCTGTCAAATTATTACTTAGGTTAAAGTACTGGAGTATGTGCTTTCAAAACTACTTTATTACTGAAAGTACTTAAAAGTTTTTTTAACAACCTATCACAGTCCCACCAACAGATTTATACATGGGGAAGTTGAGTTAAGTGTCTTGCTCAGGGACGTGATGACAGTGCGCTCGGGCAGGGACTTGAACTGGCGACCYTTTGRTTGCAAGGTGAACGCYTACCCCCTTCATCACTAAAACCTTTATCTTCCTACGTAATTAAACCCCTTTAATAAGATCTGCCAGCTCATTTASTCTCTACATCGTCACCACTTCAAGGACAAGRCTTGGAACAGTTTGGACAGAACCGAGTACTAAGTGACTCATTAAGGAGCTCCGAATCTGAGATTTTTAGTTATTTCTGTATTTGTACCAGTCAGTCAGTCAGTCAGTCAGCCAGTCAGTCAGTCAGTCATTTTTTATTTATATAGCACTTTACAACAGTGACTACTGAACCAAAGTGCTTTCCATTAGTCAGTAAGAAAAAATAAAGAATAGAAACCAACAGTGTTAGAAAAATAACACTAACTACAGCACTACAGTGTGCTAGTAACAGTTCTTAACAAATGYGTCTTCAGCTTTACATTGAACAAAATTAGGTTATTGATAGTGTGCAACTCAAGTGGTAATGATTCCCATAATGTTGGACCAGCTACAGCAAATGAATGGTYACCCCACTGTTTGGACTTTGATCTGGGGGACTGCCGAAAGATGTTGGTCAGCAGACCAAAGAGCTCTTACTGGMTGATGTGCTTGTAAAAGATCACACAAATAAGAAGGTGCCATACCAGGAACAGCTTTAAAAACAAACATTACAAGTTTAAAATCCACCCTAAAACAAACTGAGAGCCAATGAAGGGAGTAAAGTACAGGCATGATGTAACTGTGCCTCCTAGTGTTGTACCAGTTTTCTGAATTAAAATATTTGTTACAATAAACTAGAAACACTTTTGTACAAGAAAAATTAACAAAGTTTATTTGATAGAAATCCATTAATAGAACAAAGACACAAAGTCTAAAAGGCTCGAAGATCTTAAATGAGATGAGTTCATGTTAAAATCAGGACTAGGGCGGCAACTAACAATTATTTTAATAATCGATTAATCTGTTGATTATTTTTTCGATTAATTGGCCAAATCATTCAAATGCTTAATTACATGAATATCAGTAGA